CCACTCTCTCTGCGGTGTGCAGCACGTTCCCCCCATCCCATCCCATCCCATCCCATCCCATCCCATCCCATCCCTGCTCTTCTTCGGGAGACCATGGGAAGAGAGGCCAAGCTGTTGGCATGCAGCCCTATCATTCTGCCTCTGCGGTTCCCCTCCCGCTAGAGGCCCCCAGTTGAGCATCTTCCTATGCCCCTGCCTGCTTCAGGCTCACTAATCATGCCTCTCCTCTCCACTTTCACACAGAAAACCCCGAGCGCCTCATCAGCCGCCTGGCCACCCAAAGGCACTTGGCAGTGGGTGAAGAGTGGTCCCAGGACTTGCACAGCAGCGGCCGCACTGACCTCAAGTACTCCTATCGCTTCGTGTGCGACGAGCACTACTACGGAGAAGGCTGCTCTGTCTTCTGCCGACCCCGGGACGATGCCTTTGGTCACTTCACTTGTGGAGAGCGTGGCGAGAAAGTCTGCAACCCCGGCTGGAAAGGCCAGTACTGCACTGAGCGTGAGTGTCCACCTTCTTGTCTTCCCGGGTACCGGTTGCAGCAGTGTCCTCCGAGCTCTTGGGGGGGTGTTTCTCTGACATCAGGCCCCACGGGAGAGGGGGAACCAAGCTACAGTGGGTGGAGACCTGGTGCTGTGTACAGGCTTTACTGATGGCGGGGGACGGGAGGTCCTCAGCATTGCCACAGAAAGTTAACTCATGCAGCCCCTTCTCAAGCTAATAAAATGTCAGTGCCAACATTACACTCTTGCTCATTTGCCGTAGACATCAAATCTGATAGCAAAGTGTTCAGCAGTTGCTTGAGGATTTATTAAAATATATCAGGACTAGTTTTTATACTTAGCCACCCCTTCAACCAGGGTACATTGACATCATCATCTACAGGGTACATGGCTTCAGGAAAGGGAGCTAGGCTTTGACAACATCCATGTGGCAGGCCTATTGGTAGGCCTGTTATGGTCTGATGTCTTGTCACCTTATATTGAGACAAGTATTGGGAGGTCCAAGATATTCTCTGTGGCCTCTAGACCGTGCATTTCTCATTTGGGGTACACATAAACTGCCACTAACAGAGGCTGTTGCACCTGGAGCCACAAGAACTTCTTCCCCATCTCTCTTCTGTGCCATTGCCATGATCTTTACTACTAATAAGGTAGTGAAGGACATGAGTTTTAAAGTACGGCTGAGCTGGAAGTTGTTGAGGAATGTGGTGTGTTGATACAGCAGGATAAACTGGGACAGCAAGCAGATGACAGAGAGGATAGTCAGGGATGTCAGATACCTGCAGCTTTGTACAAGGTTACCACCCTTTGTAGATACATAGCAGTGTACAGCCAAACATGCACACAGAGCTCCTGCTGCAGCATGTGACGGCATTTTCGTTTGTGTGTATACACAGATCTGAAGTACGCCGATAGATGATGTACTGGGCGAGTGCTCCCCTCCAGTCATCAAAGGGCCAGACAAGCAGGGAGAAAACAGTTACAGGCTGTAAAGCAGCATCTTGGTCTCCTTGTTGTGTTTTTGTTTTTCTTAAAGCCCACCTACACTGTGGCCTCAGCTAAGCTGCTATCAAATGAGCCCAGATTGATTATTCACACTGTTAGTGACTGCTAGGATGCTTTTAGCTGTTCATGGTACAATGTTGCACAATAAACAGCAGGCAGAGGGGCTCGCATTTCCTTTGATAGTGTTTTAAATAGGAACTACAACCTTTCCCATGATCAAAAGTGCCTAGCCCAGTTGTGTCAAGGGGTGGGGAAAAAGGAAGCGTTTTGATAATGAGCTCTTTTGGGGCTGTCAGCACTTTCGGATGCCTGTACATTGCTGCTCTTCCCATAGCAAAGTAGAGGGCTGTCCGTCTTTCTTGACTCGTTACATAGACTCTTCGCTCTGCTTTCCTCCTCAGAAAAAAACAGCTTATAACAGCAACGCAAACCTACTGGGCAGGGGAGATGTGTTTATGTGTGCATGCAAAAAGAATGTTTTGCCATTAGCGACCGGAGCTGCCAGTCGCAGATTGCTTCCCGTCGCCTTGCCCCCAGCTCCATTCTTTCCAACTTGGAGGCGATCTGATTATCAGCGACGATTCTTTCTTTCTTTTTCTCCCCCCCCTTCCCCTCGCATGCCATTGTCTCCGGCTGGCTTTGTTGAATTAAAACTTTGCAGTGCCTGCTTAATGAGTTCCATAACCAGGCGAAGTAATGAGCAGAAGTCCCTTTTTTTCCCTTCCCTCATCCTCCCTCCCGCTGGCCCGCTTACCTCTTTTACCAGGGCTGCACCCACCCGCC